CCAGGTGCCGAGGGAATTGCTGCGCAACCACACTCTCAACAACCTTCGCCGCAAAGCGAAGGTTGGAGACCGGGCGATAATTGGCCAACTCGTCTGGGTCCAGGGAAGGCTTCTTGAGGAGGGGCCTCACCACGGCCTCCTTTAGGGCCGCCGGGAAGACACCCTCCTGCAAAGAAGCGTTAATAATTCCCTGGAGCCAAGCTCGTGTCCCCTCCCGAGCTGCCAGTACCAGCCAGGAGGGACACGGATCTAATAAACATGTGGTTGCATTCAGCCTCCCCAAGACCCTGTCCACATTGAAAGCCACTGGGATATCAGGGATGTACACACTACTTTAAATTCTGCTCTACCATTCCAAAATTTGACAAGGCTGTTCCTTCGCATACTTAGGCCTGGATCCAGACTGAAGAGTCCAGAAAATTTCTTCATCCAGAATCCTCCAAAGTTGCTGTGCAACCAACTTCTCAACAACCTTTCCTAAAAAGAAAGGGAAGGAGGACAAAATTGTCCCAAACTGTCTAGCATTGGTATCTTAAGGGCTGAACCACTGCCTGTTTAAAAGGAGGAGGAATGAGCCCCCTCACTCATGGAACAATTCACCCTTGCCCACCCTCAATCACATGTCATATCCCAAGTGGCCTCATTAAGGCAGGTTGGGCATGGATCCCAGGCGTGAGGACCCCATCTGCTTCCTCAGCTCCAAAAGCACCCAATTCCTCCTGGATAACTAAGCAAAACTGTGTCCCAGGTAGCTCCACAGAACCTACTCCAAGACGGGAATCTAACTAGGAGCAGATCTGAGTAATTTTGTTCAATAGATGCCCAGCATATTCCTAGCCATGAAAGCCACTAACTGACCTTTGTTACCATATTCTCTTCAAATAATTGTTTAATGGAGAAAAAAAGAGGATCAAAATATTGTGCATTGAGCTCTGCTGGCAAAAGCAGGCAATAGTAAACAATAATATATAGTAAATACAAGGCATTTCAAAAGGACAAAGAACAGTTCCCCACCTTGTAGAAAGCAGGGACTGGTGCTGATTCCTAAGAATTTACTTAGGGACTTGAGCCAGTAGTTTATTAATTAACCTTCCCTGCTGGGTTGTTCTGAGGATAAAAGTGTATAAGTTGGACAATTGTGTGTACTGTATTATTTAGTTGCCCTAAACTTGAAAGTTTTGGGTAAAACAAGTTAATAAAAAGTGATTATGTTCATGTTGTTACCTAAGCCAGGTTTCGCTTTATTTGGTTTTGCCTTATTGTGTTGCATGCAAGATATGAATAGCTGAAATATAGATGTTCTTGCATTTTAATAATCATAGAAAATGTTCGACTATTGAATAAATCTGAAATATGCATGTAGATGGTGCTATGAAAGGCAACTGAGGATTTTTTTCTGTGAATAAAACATTTGTCAGGAAGCTTCAGAAGCAATCTAGTAGTACTTTTCAAGATTAATACATTTTATTGTAAGGTACAAGCTTTCAAGAGCTACAGCTCAGTTCATCACATTCATGGAGTGGCTTTGATATAGAATTTAAATATATTGGGATGAAGCGGAGAGGGAAGAGAGAATAGTTATGCAGATGAAGGTTTCATGGAGGACAGACCTCATGTACCTTATCAATTAACAAATATAACGTGCTACAAATTTTATGTGTATAATTTGTTGGGACCCTTAATGGTGCTGTACAGTAGTTGTGGAGGCAGAATAGACATTTGGGTTTTTGGCAGGATCTGCTTCCCATGTTGCTAGAGTTGTCCTGTTGTTTCTTGTTGCATATGACAATCTGCTTCAAACTGGGGTATTGACTGTATGCAAATATGGGCCTGTCAGCCAGTGCCTGAGAAAATGCAATAGAGCTTAAAATATATTAATAATGCATTTAAATGACTTGACCTATAGATGATAACCAATGATGTTCTATTGTTCCATGTTGGCGGTCTGTCTTCTAATGTCATTCCTGAGACTCAGTCTGTCTTTACTGATACTCAGGAAGAGTAGTCCTGGTTTGCTTTTAAAACTGGATTTAATTAAATAAAATATTTCGTGTCTAAAAGCTCTTATGTGTTTCTGGATACCTAAGCAGTCAGTCAGTTAGTTTATTTTGATTACTGACCAGCAAAGCAGACCTAATCTGTATACCTGGCAGTTAGCATGAGTTTATTAAAATATATTTGGGCACAAGATTATTAAACTAGCAAAAGGAACTAAATTTTAAGCAGAAAAAGCTTTTTTTAAAAAGGCACTCAGATACCAATGGGATCATCAGCTGAACAAGATAAGTATTTTTGAGGGATTGGTTTCTGATCTGGTCAGTTTCCAGGCCACCTTCAGTTAGGAATTCAGAAAAGTGCTAGATTGGATACAGGAGGCGGAAGAGGATTTAATATTTAGCTGTGTTGAAAGGAATACCAGAGGATGAAAAGTGCTGCTGATGTTCTCTGGGATCAGAGGGAATTTACTTGCAGACCAATACTTGCTATGCATTGTGAACTGAACATCTTGTACAAGTAATCCTCAATTTACAACCACAATTATGCCCAAAATTTCTATTGCTAAGCAACAGTTGTTAAGTGAGTTTTCCTCCTTTTTACAACTTTTCTTGCAACAGTTGTTAAGTGAATGACTGCAGTTGTTAAGTTAGTAATCTGGCTTCCTCATTGACATTGCTTGTCAGAAGATCGTAAAAGGTGATCACATGACCTCGGGACATTGCAGCCATCATAAATACATGCCGGTTGCCAAGCATCCAAATTTTGACAACATGACTTACTTTTAAAAAGTAAGCTTAATTTCTCTAGATTGACTTTGAGTAAAGAACAAAGTGTTTCTTTTTTATGAACATAAATAAAACTTGTTTTCCTTTGATGCAGCGACAAAACACAGGAAATAATGTTCTTTTGGAGGATAGCCATGTTCAGTGCTCTCATGAGGGTGCATACCTCTTCCCAGATTTCATGGGACTTCAGCTTGGACAACTTCATCTATTCAGTTGTGAGTACCTACAACATTCATACTTGCTCTCGCTGAGGATCAGATTTTACACCTGACATAGTAACTTGGAATTCTGAGAATTTGTAATTCTGAATATCTAGAGCAGTGGTTCTCAACCTTTTTAATGCCGTGACCCCAACCGGTCGTACGTCGAGGACTAAACCGGTTGTAAGTCGAGGACTACCCAACTGGTCATAAGTCGAGGACTTTCCCTGCCCGGGAGTGCCACACATGCGTGGTTCCGCCCCCTGCGCCGGCCGAGGCATAGCTGGCAAGCAGCAGAGACGGAGCAGGCCGACCACCAGCTGGCCCAGCCCAAGGGAGGTAAGGCACCTGCCGGAAAAGGGGAAAAAAATGGCGGACAAAAAAAATGGTGGACAGCCTTGCTTGGCGACCCCCGTGAAATGGTCGATCGACCCCAAATGGGGTCCCGACCCACAGGTTGAGAACCGCTGATCTAGAGGCTACAATAAAAGACGGTGGTGTGTGTCACCAAGTCTCCGAGGAGCAGTCCTGGATATCGCAGTTCAGCAGCATCTTGGTTTTATATCTTTCTAAACTCTGTGAGGATCACACAGTCAATAGCTTCTCCGGCATGATAGGGAATGCTAGAAGCTCTAATTGCTGAAGGTAGCAAACTCTCAAAAGAATGTGACATTCTTTTGAGAGTTTGCTCCCTTCAACAACTATAATTTTGCACTATCCAATCTGAGTCAGTCACTGACTCATGCAGTAGCCCATCTTCAGGGAACTTCTCTCTAGCCTGGGGGGGGAGATATATATATATATATATATATATATATATATATATATATATATATATATATATATATATAGAGAGAGAGAGAGAGAGAGAGAGAGAGAGAGAGAGAGAGAGAGAGAGAGAGAGGAGTTCCCCGAGGGATGGGGGCTCCAGAACGAGTCCGAAAGCTCAGAAGACAAAACCTCTGTTCCCGGTGACCAACCCAGACCAACATTATCCTGGGACACGTATATTCACCTTCATTTGTGGACTATAGTTTTATGTAAGTGTTGCCTCCAGACAGCTGACTCATTAGATGGTTGAAATTCCTGATGGTTGACTCACCAGGAATGAATGTTTATGGTTCTTATTGAAAACCCTACCCCCAATGTATAATTATTTTCTTATAAAGAGGAAAATGCCTGTCTTTCAGATTCACAGCAAGTGGGGCAAAATAGAGGACAACACCACACACAGGCAAAAGCGTCAGGGTAGGTGCATATTTTTTCATGTCTTTTGCTTCATCTTCAATTTGTACAGTCATTTTTCTTTGGTAGATGATCTGATTTCTGCCTTGCTTGCCAACCGCAACTGGGCCTGACAACTCTGCTGTTAATCAGTGTGATCATAAAATAAAATGTCACTTGACCATGGCTGACTTATGACATCAGTTCCAGCTGCACTTGTGAAGCAAATAAGATGCAATTGTTAAGCATGATGTTATATACCGATAGAGGAGAATATTTGTATCTCAGGGTTGAAATGAGGGGTCCCTGGTGCTCTCTAAGCTTGATTGCTTTCATGTGGACATTTCATGACCCAAACTAGGTAACATCATCAGTGCAGAGCAACTACCAAGCTCAGAAGCACCAAGGACCCCTCACAATGTTATTTGACCACAAATTATAACTTCCTACTGGCTGCCCCATTGACTTTGTTGGTAACTTGCTGTGAAGGTCACAAATGGCAATCAAGTGACTGATGGACACTGAAATGGCTATAGTTGCCACATGCTTGAATCACATCATGTGACTGTGGGATGCTGTGATGGCTACTATTTTAAGGACCAGTCATAAGTCTCTTTTTTCAGTGCCATTTTAATTTTGAATGGTGTCTGAACAAGTGGTCAGTAAGCAAAGACCATCTGTTTTACATTCTTCACCTCTGGTAAAGAAAGAGACCAAATGTGAATGTCTTCACAACAACTTATGAAAGTGCCATTTCCCTTTCTTACTCTTTAATTTTCTTAATAGGTAGAAATGGGATGTCAAGTTTGAAGGCCACATCAACATATGAAAGCTTGCCCATTCACAAAAAGATGGCAACAGAGGGTGGTCAGTCTCAAGCAAACTGGGCAGAGCATCCCAAAGTCATCAAGGAAAATGTCATTGGGATCATTACTGCTTGGTCTCCACACTGGGGAATGCAGTGATAGGACACAGGGCAGCTCAAATTCACCAGTGCTTGTTGTGGTAAACACATAACATGTTAAATGGAGGTGCAGGTAGTCCTCAAATTACAGCTGCAGTTGGGACCAGGACTGCCATCACTAAGTGATGCAATCATAAAGTGCATGACCAGATCCCTTAGCAATAGCAATCCAGGTAGTCCTGGTTATTGTTGCAACTCAAGATGTGTAAGTCATTAAGTGGAGAGTGGAGGGAGTCCCAGGTAAGAATGTGGGGGTAGGGAGGGAGGTCCTGGGAGATGGTGCAGTGTGAGGTCAGGAAGGCTGAGAAAGGAGGGAGCTGATGTGTGTGTGCATGTTTGTGATTATAGGGAAGCTGTTGAAAGAGGAGCTGGAGTGCTTGTGATTGCAGGGAGGCCAAAGAAAAGGTGCTGAGTGAATGCATGTATGCAATTGCAGAGGGACCAGGGAAAGAGGGTGCAGGGTGCATGCATGTGTGTGTGTGCTAGCACAATCATGGAAAGACCAAGAAAAGAGGGCACAAGCAAAATTTGGAGTCAATCTAATATTTGGGGGGGGGATGATGTTCTAAAGGATAGGAACCATGATAGAAAAGGCCCTCTTCTTGTGTCTTGGACAAGACGCATAACATGTCAGTCTTGATGGGATGGGTAGATGTAACCATTGAGGGGAGGTCCCTCAAATAATCCAGCCCCATGCCATGAATGGCTTTATAGGTCATTACCAGCACCTTGAATTGAACCTGGAAGCATATTGGCAACCGATGCAGCTCCTGGAGCAGACATAGAACATGCACTGATTGAAAATGCACATAGCTGCTCACATTTCTGCATTCTGTAGTAGATGAAATTCGCAAGGTAGTTGACAAGATATGCTCATTGTGAGAGATTTTTCTGACTCCTGGGCCTGAGATTTTCTGACATATACAGTCGTTGAGAAGAAGATAGCAGAATGTGGTTGAGTCACTCTTATTACAAAATTAATTATGACAGAACATTTCCCCCCTTGTTAGACATGTCACCAGAATACACGATTGCTGTTGAGATAAATTTTGAAGACACCTCACTCCAGGAGGACCTCAGAAAGTTTTTCCAAAACCTTAGCCTCCCAGTTTCAGTAAACGTCCCTGATTCAGATATAAGCATTTCACAAATTAATATTACTACTGGTAAGTAATCCTTCACCATTTACCATCATCATTTGCTTTCTCTGTGTTTAATTTAATTTGGCGGGGTTTTGTGGGAGGTATGTTAAAAATAAGTAGCTGGCTCAAAGATAAATACTTTAGAAGTACTTCAATTCCAAATTTGTCTGGATATATATAAATGCAAAAGAAATGTTTCTTTGTGGTGAGGCTTAAGACACATCAGGGTTAATTAGGGTTTCTAAATCTGTGGTACAAAACTAAACCAGCAGTTCTTAATTGTTTAATCTCAGTACTCCTTTACATTCTTAAAAATTATTGAGGATAGCAAACAGCTTTAGATTGTTGGATTGATTTATTTATTTAAAAATAACAATAATAAACCCATTATATGTTAACTAACGTTAAACCTAAAACTGAGTTATTCTGAAAACACACATATTTATATCCTAAACTTGCTACCTGAACAAATCCTAAAAAATATGAGAAAACACAAACGCATATGCCAGTGGTGGCGAACCTATGGCACGGGTGCCAGAGGCAGCACTCAGAGCCCTCTCTGTGGGCACTCGCGCTGTCACCCCAGTCCTAGGCCTGCAGCTGGGTTTTATAAAACCTTTTCGCTTTAGGCCTCCGCCGCCGTGTGCAAAAAAAAAAGGTTCAATCAATCAGTCAATTTCAACTTCTTGCGGGAAAAAAAAAGATCTTGCAAAGTTGGAATTGATTGATTGAACTTTTTAGTCCCACCCAGTCTTCTGTTACCACTGCAGCCACGCCCACCCAATGGGCCACACCCAGCCAATGGGCCACACCCAGCCAATGGCCACACCCACCCGGCACCCGATGATGCATAAATGGGTTTTGGGTTGCAGTTTGGGCACTCGGTCTCTAAAAGGTTCACCATCACTGGCATATGCTATTATCCATCAGAGTGATGACTTCATCACTTGTCATGTAGCGCCTAAAAACTTTATTGACCCCCTCCCTTGAAAAGATCCCAGAGACCCAGAGTCCACAGACTATACTTTGAGAATCGTTGCTTTAAACAATCATTAAATGTTAGGTGATTTTACCTTTGCTGGCACCTCACAATTTTGGCAGTCCATGTCCAGGAGCCAAGGGAAAGACCATATGTTTAGGAGTAGAAACTTACCCATTCTTTCAAAACAAAACAAAACAAAACAAACATGTTCTATAAACATTTGCTAATGCCTGACAGCTCTTCTAATAGGGAAAAAAGGAAGTCTGCTGAGAACACAACAGCCTCTATGGTATAGGATGGCTCTTTGAGGTTCAACCTAATGGAATTAACTGTTCTCATGTTCCAGGAAGTTGTAAGCACATTTTGTTCATTTAGTTCATTTCTCTTTTAATGTCCTAATCAGAGGTTGTAGGGTGAGTTTCTTTTGGAAGTCATAAAAGGACTCACAACTAAAATATATTTGGGAGAATTAAGATAGGCAGAAAACACTAAAATATTTGTAAAAGATTAGCAATGCTTCTTGCAACAGATAAAATTCTGTAAAACAATCTGATTTATCAAAACAATACAATAATTTATTTTATGTACTTAAACATTTGTCCTCCCTGTTTCTCAACATATTGTTTCAATCCAGTGGAGAAATGTGGGCATCGGAGATATCATATTTGTGTTGTAAAATCTGGAGTTTTGCAGTTCTGCAAATAATTCTGCTATTGGTTTACAAATGGTGTAGATTGTTCAGAAAAAATTACAAGAACCTTTCCTTGTTCTAAGAATGACATTTACAATGGAATCTCTACTTGGGAGGGGGGACTGTAGGGAGAGTTAAACTCAGCTTAGTCCTAATGGACAGTCAGTTAAATATAAGACAGTAGTGTACTGCAGCTGCCAAAAAAGCCAACAGAGTCCTAGGCTGCATTAACAGAGGGATAGAATCCAGAACATATGAAGTGTTAGTACCGCTTTACAATGCCTTGGTAAGATCACACTTGGAATACTGCATCCAGTTTTGGTCATCATGATATAAAAAAGATGTTGAGACTCTAGAAAGAGTGCAGAGAAGAGCTACAAAGATGATTAGGGGACTGGAGGTTAAAACCAGGGCTTTTTTTCTCATAGAACGCCCAGAACAGAGTTCCGGCACCTTTTTTGGATGGAACCTTGTAGGGTAGGCAAGGCGAGTTGTATGACGTGTGTGAGTTCTGGCACCTTTTTTTTTTTTTTTAGGAAAAAAAGCACTGGCTAAAACATATAAAGAACAGTTGCTGGAAGTGTGTATGTTTAGTTTAATAAAAAGAAGGACTAGGGGTGAAATGATAGCAGTGTTCCAATATCTAAGGAGCAGCCATAAAGAAGAGGAGGTCAATCTGTTCTCCAAAGCATTTGAAGGCAGGACAAGAAGCAATGGATGGAAACTAACCAAGGAGAGAAGCAACCCAGAACTAAGGAGAAATTTCCTGACAGTTAGAACAATTAATCAGTAGAACAACCTGCCTCTGGAAGCTGTGAATGTTTTTAAGAGACTGGACAGCCATTTGTCTGAAATGGTATAGGATTTCCTGCCTGAGCAGGGGGTTGGACTAGAAGACCTCCAAGGTCCCTTCCAACTCTGTTATTTTGTTATTCAGTTAGGTTGTTGGCCTCTGTGTAAGGGCCTGCCTTAACTAGATCTCCCAAGAAAGCAGTACTCTTGAAACAGGCATTGTCTCAAAAGGAACTTTTATTAGGGACTAGTGATAGCAGGGAAAAGAAAGCGAGGTCTGAGGAAAAATCCTTTGCAAGCAGTATATCAAAAGCAATATTCATTACTTCTCCCCCCAGGGTCCATTTGAATCTCAGCCAATCCACATGTGGTATATTGGTAACGGGCTTCTATGGCATGCTCTTCAAGGTCTCTCTCGCTTTCGTTTTCCTCTGGCTCCAAGCTTCTCCTAGATAAGGTTGATGTTATTCGGCTGCATTCCTTCTCCTGGGGGAGGGGCAAAGTGGCAAGACAGTGGAACACATCCCCCAAAGCATCCCCCCTCTCAACAGAATGGCAGGCACCCAAAAATGGTTATAAAAGCATGTGTACGATAGAAAGAGAAATAATCCATTTTTGGGGGATCTGACACTCTGTTAGATTCTTTACTTGCATATATTTATTTATTTGTATACCATCTTTATTATTTTTACAAATAACTCATAGCAGCAAACATATCCAACACAACTTCCTCTTCCTATTTAGACTGCTTTGATAAGAATCACTTTATACCTGAAAAATGAGACAACTGGAAGCCTTTAGTCTATCTGTATGAAGGTTTACATTTCTCTTGACATTTGATGCTCTACAAAATAGTCTGTAGGGTTTGAATGTCACATCCTGAAACCAATAAGATCCAATGTAATGATGTAACTTATTAATCTATTCACACATGAACAGATTAACCACATTTAATGTGTGCTAGAGAAATTGAGTCTAAGAGACCCAACACATTACCTTTGCTACTGCAGATTGGATTATTTTCTGACTTTTCTAGTATTTTTTATTACTGCATGGATCAACATGTGATGCTAAAAAAGTGATTGTGCATATTATTCAGTTAAAGCTAATCAATATTCCAAGTGCGTTTAGTGTTGAAAAGCCAATGCTAAAAAAAAGAAGAAGCTTAAACTCAACATGGCTATCTGTGGAATTCTGGGAGTTGAAATCCATACATATTCATGTGGCCAAAGTTGAGAAACAGTGGGTTAGGATCTTGGATATTCAACCCTCCAAGTTTGTATATTATTGACTTATGCATACAGAGTAAACATAATCAATGACATGAATAACATCAACAAGATACAATGATTTAAGTCTTTTTTTGTTTTTGTTTTATCTTTTCTCACATTAGTGTGCAACTCAGTTGGCACTAATCTTTCTCATTGTTTCTGTGAACCTGATTATGGATGGTCTGCCAAGATCTGTAAAGCATATCCTGTCTGCCATAATACTACAACTGCAATGGGAAAGAGCTGCAACTGTATTGCGCAGCTTCCTCCTCAAAGGACCTTTTGTCAACTTCAGTCAGAAGGTAAGAGAAGGTGGCAAATGATGATGAATGGTGGCTTATGGGCAACAGCAATTCATTCATGAGAAAATAACTTTTCATAGGTAATCTGCCAAAATGGAAGCTTAAATTATTTTCAATTCAGAAAATTCTGACTGAGTTTTACATTTTACATCATTGCTATTTGCCAATTCTTCACTTTCTGGAATCTATCAAATGTCATCTAAATAATGTCTGACTTCTAAAATCTATTCAATTAAACAAAATACTTGAATTTCAGATGAGAAATCTGATTCAGATCTTTAACTTCATCCTATGATTTGCAAAATTTGAAAAGTCTCCTGCATTTTGCAACTGCATTGATTATATTTTTATTCCACTTAGCTAAATCCCCAATGTGGGTGACCATGCACTGTTTGGTGCTTGCTGAGTTCTCTGCTACATCTAATTGTATTGGTTTAGAATATTTTGATTATGAAAATTGAGTGGGAAGCTAGCATGTAGCAAATCAAAGCATTGCTCTCAAGCATTACATGAGTTTCTCATGGCTATGCTCCCAACATAGAAACTGGAGACATTCTTAGAAAATAAGAGGATGGGTGGCTACAACCTTCTGGTAAATAGGTCCTTTATGAATAGCCATATCCACCACTGCAACCATTGTGGGGAGAGTGCCTGTGACAGTCTATCAACATTCTAAATATGTCCACTGATCCCCAAGCATGGCAAGCTTAGCTTGGTCTCTCTTGCATACTAGTATATATAATTGGCACTATCGCAAAGTTATCCTTTCACAAAAGAGCTCATTGTCTGTCATTTTCATTGCTCTGTTCTCATCCTCCATATTTATTAGTTATTTTCTATTTAATTTCTCATTTTAAACTTTTGTTATGTTACTCTCCTACTCTGGTCCCAGGATTTTAATCTCTCGATTGTATGTGCTGTTCCATTTGCCAGATTTCAGATTATTATTCCCATCTCCTCTTCTCCATGTCCTCATGCAAGCTCCAGTAAAAGAATACATAACTAAATTAGTACAAATTTTAAATGAATGGACTATTAAGAAGCATTTAGCCAAGACTGAATTGTATGCTTAAATGATGCTTTATTTTCAAATCTTTATTTCAGCTAATAAGATTACTTCTCTTTTTTTACCACTAATAAGATTACCTCTCTCTTTTTTTTACCACAGATATTCCTTCAGTGCTCATAACAAATATGTCTGTCCAACTTGATATACCCTTTAAGAATGCTTTATGGGATTCATCCTCTGCGTTGTTCAAAAAATACAAACACGATCTTGAGAAGGCAGTAAGTCTGAGCTGGTTCTTCAACTAAAACTTGGCCAAGATATTTTAAAACTCTTATTACTTAGCTGAAGAGGATTTCTTTTGAAGGTGTCTAGATATTTGAAGTGATTAAAACAAATGCAAGTCCCATTTTATTAATCTGGATGTCATAAAACCACTAAGCTCAGCGTAGTGCCAATGATGTGGGTTTTTGTAGTCTTTTTAGTACCTCGACTGTAAACTCTTAACTGAAGCCATCCAAATAAGCTCTCCGTAAGCCTTTCATATGGCACAGTTTTCATTCCATGTCCACTTATAATCTGTTACAAAACATTTTGAAACTGACCTTGGATTATTTTCACTTCTGATGGCTCAGAAAAGGCAATAAGCCAGTGTGTTCTCTTTCCAGATGACCAATAGGAGGATTAAAAATGTTTATTGAAATAGCCCCTGACCTGCCACAGCTCCTGGAGCAACAAAGTGTTCTCCCACAACACTTTTGGTTGTTGGGTTTTTATTATTGCAAGTGTATACAACTATACTAGTTGTCTATGGAGAGTCTCAGTCATCCAGGTCATGGTTGTCCCAAAGGTGCTTTCCAAAAGGCAACTGGACTTTCTTAGTTTTTTTCCATGAAAATCAAGGAGCATCTCTTTTTTTGTAATATATTTTATTGATTTTTAAACATAAATCACTTTATAATTGGTGAAGAGTGTGTTGTCTGGGTTTACATTTGTAAAACAATCACTAACAATTAATTTCTATAATCCATAATCCACATAATGGTTTTAGTTGATTTCCTCTTTTCCCCAAAATATCCTCTTTTGCAAAAATTGAGTTAATACAATTCTTATTGTTTTGATAGATATCAATTAAATATATATTTTTTCCCAATATTCCTAAAAATAATAATCACATCAATATAATATTTCTTTTCTATCCAATCATTCTGGTTGTCTTATCATATATCCTGCTACAGTCCTTATTTAAATTTGTTTCTCCCCCAAAATTCTAAATATTCTTACTAGTTAAGATTTTCTCAAAAATTAATTATATTTAAAAATTTAAATCTATTTTTTCCATATGAACCTTCTCAACACTTTTATATTTGTTAAGAAATAGATAAAACAGTAAAAAAAAAGGAGAGCAAGAGTAAAGAAACATAAAAAATAACATACTACTTAAAATATATGTCCCTCCTAAGCTAATATATATTTGTTTCCAATATTTCTTATTCTTTTTAACCATAATTAAACATTTAATTTTAATTTTAATCTTTAAATATTCCATTTAATACATCTAGTCATCTAGTCCTTTAACTGTTATTCAAAACATTTTTATCCATTATAATTTTCTTAAATTCAATCACATTTAAATATCTAAAACATTTCCTTTATCTAAGTCATTTCAACTTTTGTATATTACTCATATCAAGAAATAAAATAAAAAAGGGAAAAAAGCATACTATATTGTTTAGAGAATTCATCCCTCTTAGAATGACATATATATTCCAAATATTTTCTATTTCTTTAACCATATTCAAACAAATGTTTCTTTTTTAAGTATTCTCTCTGTTAGGTCTCATCATCTATTTTCTTGATTTCCACTTTAGTCTTTTTCCTTTGCCCAGTATCTTTCTTAATCAATGTATTTTGCTGAGTCAAAACGTTTTTCCATATGTTTGTTAACGTTACTATAGATATAAAAAGTAAATCAGGAGAAGTGTGTTTGTACGGGGCTTCTGCCTTTCCATGTTTGTTGAAAATCTTTTTCTTTTTCTTTCTCTCCGCTTCTCTTATTATTTCCTTTCTCTCTGATGTTCCTGACATCTCTACAGTCCATTTTATCCAATCTGTTTTTTGTCTTCAGATTTGTTTTGTACTCTTAAGGGATAAGTTGTTTTTTCCAATTCTTGTGAATTTTTTCCCCACTAAGATTAAATCATGTTTCCTTGTTTTGTTAAGTTTCATATTTAAGTCTCTATTCTCAGTTTTATATCCATTTATCTGTTTTGTCTGTTCCTTCTCTGTTGTTGTTTTCTGGGAATTTTTTTCTTATAGAGTTAACTTGGAAATAAATTGGTTTATATTTTCAAAGTTATTTTGGATTTCTTTGTGGTTTAAAGTCATTGTTGTTTGAATTAGTTGCAGTATACTATATATCTCCTCCTGTGAAGTATTTATGTTTTCTTGATATGTTCTTTCTACTTGTCTCTGATCCATAATAGCCAAGAATTTGAGTTTTCCTCTTCCTTTCTTTTCTCTGCAAATAGCTTTAGAGTCCCAATTAGATAGATATTTGTAATCCAAATAGTTGAAAAAAAAATTTTTCCCCTGAAATTTATAATTCTCTCTTTGTCTACAGCCCAGATTATTGTCTTTTTTTGTCACAACTGTTCTTTGTTGTTAAAGCTTTGAAGGTCACAAATACAGATTAGCTTTTCCCAGATTTTGCCAAGTCTTATATTAAAATCATAGCTGTCATAGTCTTCATCTGCCACTAGGTGCCAGCAACTATTTGTTTTTCAATTTCCAAAATGAACAATTATCTTTAAAATGAGAGTCTTAACCATTCAAACAATTTTAGATTTATCCAGATTTAAGTTTTAAGTTTCAGGTTTTATATTTATTTCACTTCTATATATTTTGATCCTCCATAAAGAGATTAATTTGCCACTTCTGTTAGTATAAGGGTGGGGCGGAAATCCCCCTCCTTCCCTTTCAGAGGTATTTTGCTTCTTGGGGATCTTTTCCAGGAAATTAAATATAAAAGAGAAAAGAGAAGATCGAATTCCTCACCCAGTTTCAAGCATGCTGTTCAGAGTTGTGCTGGTTAGTACTTTTGGACTTCAGTTGCAAGTAGCTTGGGCTGGTCGATGAAGTACAGCCAGCTTTTCTCCTGTTGGATTAAAAGGCTTTTCCCAAGTCAAATGGAATGACCATTGTCATTTCAGAATCACTGGGCACCCTTCTTTCTTTGCCATCTCTTCGGGGCAACTTAGACCCATTTAAGGTCCCCTAACAGGGCGAAATTAGCCACGGGGGTGCGGAGAATCCACAAGCCCATGACTGGTTGCTACCATGTAAAAGTGGAAGTTCTAAAATCAAGGAGCATCTTGAATGAGAAGTGAAATGTTTTCAAGGAAAAAAATTAAGTAAGCCCACTTGCCTTTTGTGTGTAGTTGGGAATGGAGCTGATACTTTAAGTGGTCTATGAAGGATGTTGTATTTTTATGGGACTGATAATATCAAACTTACAAAAACAGCAACATCTTTTTTAATTGACACACCTATATAACAGAAAGAAAGAAATGATTGCTGATATATGTGGATCCCAATTTCCTAATATGGAAGATAATACATACATATATTCAACTAGGGATTATCTAGCAATAGCATGGTGAAAGAGTAGAAGAAGCATTTCATATGCAATATACAGCCTCTAATCTAATAAAGGAAAATATTTGTAGCTCAAAGTTGAAATGAGGGTCCTTGGTGCTTTTTGAGCTTGGTTGTTTTCTTGCAGATGTTTCATTACCCAAACTAGGTAACAGCATCAGTGCTAGTAGGGAGTGGGGTTTGCTCTCAGTTTGTGTTCTAGTGGCTTGCCCCATCAGTGTTGGTGGGTCTTGGGGGTTCTTTGGTTAGGTTATTTACTGTTAGCTTGTTTGGCAAGGAACTGCCAAAGCCTGGGAACTATTAAGCCTGGGAAACTATTTATTTCATCTTGTTATAACAGGAATGAATGGACTTTCTCTGATTAAACTCTGGTTTTGAGTTAAGATTCAGGTTAAACCAACCTTCCCTTATCTAATATCTTTCAGATGTTTTAGAACAACATTCCCCAATCTTTTCAGCTCAGTAGACCAGTGGAAGTGGTGGGGACGGGGAAGGGATGGGATTGTTTTGCATGCATGCACTCGCCGCTTTCACCCAATGAAGTTTCGCACATGCCCACCGCTTCCATGGCCTGGTTCCAATTGGGCTATGCCCCAGCACTGGGCAGTGGACCAGGGTTTGGGGACACCGGTTACATAACAGTGTTCTTAATTGATAACCATGCTGATTGAGTATTATGGGCATTTTAATCCAACGTATCTCTTCATCCACTTTTAGTAGGTTATTTCTATATTAGGTTTGGCAAAGAATCCTTTGCCCATGAGATCAGGACTGTGAAAATCATGATATTTGTTTGATGTTTCATGAAAGTATGTAGGATGTCTGTAATAGTAAGGGAAATAATGTGGCCTTAATAATACTCTGCAAAATATATTGCTTTTTTCAGTTTATTGAAGGCTATTCAACTTTACCGGGTTTCATAAATGCAACAGTTACAGGATTCAGGTACGAAAAACTTTTTGTTTCACTTGGAAAGATTATAGGTAAAATGATTTGTTTTGACTTCACATAATGATCCAACTGATAAATGCTAAGCATGAAATGAAATCAACTTTAAGTAATGCAAACTTTTAAGGCAGATAAAAGCTTTTCAGCAGTAAAATCAGCAGAAAAACACAATCTATAGATAATACAACCTATATAAATGCAACCTACAGATAATGAAAGACAATTTTGTCATAGTTAAAGATATTGTATTAGGAACAGGAAACCCCTCAGCATGGAAACCAGGTGGGTGACTGTGTCAGCCCTAAATTAGGAACAAGGTACTAACAAACCACTTTTTAAAAAATGTTGCCAAGAAAACTGTACAGACCTGTCCTTGTACACATCTGGAAAGTCAAGAATCACTCAAAGAATCATAATAATTAACTGCACAGATAATTGAAGAAGCAAAATAAATTATATTGGCCATGATAAAAATCCTCAAATCCATTCTAGAGCTATATCTTTGTAGCCTATGTTGTACTACCTATTCTAAGTTCAAGAGCTAGTTCCCACCATTTTCACCCATCAAGGATTACTTTTTGGCTCCTATGCAATTTGTTTTCCTCAATCCTAATGCCAAATTTCCAACTAGCAAGGGATCTCTAAGGGCATTTTCATTATATTCTGAAGTATCCAATAAGAAAAATATATCTTTCTTCCAGTTTGAACTTTTCATCATTCTGATTGCATCACTAAAAATAGCATATAGAAACATAATATAGGTACAGTAGTTGAGTTTTATAGGGATAAATCTCTTCCATGTCCTGTAGAGAAACTTGCTTAGAGTTACAGACATCTGTCTCACAAGATTTACCAAACATTCTGCTCAATGATACAGTACATGCCAAAAGCACAGTGTATATCCAAGCAATCTTATACTGCAATAAGCCTTAGCTAGTAAGCCCCTCCAGATGTGTCAGGGATTCAATCTGCCTGGGCCATCTGAGTCAGATAGCTTCTTCTCTTGTCAACTGATGAAACTTCCTACCTCTTTCTATCCAAACTGGTCATGTTGTCAATCATTCTCTTAATTTTTCTGCATACCCAGAACTGCAGGGAGTGGAATCCCAGTTAGACAAAGTGCTGCAGAGAGAAAAAAAAATTGTCTTTCTCTCTTTTTATTTCTTACACACACCAAATATTTCTACCAATAGAGAGCACTTCCTGCTTTCCTTTTTCTGGCTTACCATACCCAGAGTTGGTGACTTCTAAGAGGGAGGAAATAGAAACTACAGGTTGAGGAAATGGATTAAAAAACTTCCTGATCCTTGGAGTTTAAGCTAACTCTTTCCTATTTCCAACAAAAACTTCTTTCCCTCCTTTTTTCCTCTTTCTGCTGCCTGATCTACTGAGGATCAGGAAGTTTTTTAATCCATTTCCTCAACCTGTAGTTCCTATTTCCTCCCTCTTGCAGTTTAGCAATTTAACTTTGCCTGGCTTGCACTAATTGCCCTGCCAGCCAATGGGTTGCCCTTTATTAGGCTAACAGTTCACAAAAAAGTGTTCATTATTTGCTCCCTTCCATCCAATTATGTCTGATTCTGGGAGACTGCCTACATAAGTCCCTGCAGTGTTTTTGCCAAGGTTTTTTAGAAGTGATTTGCCATTGCCAACTTCGTAGGCCTGAGAGAAAGTGATTGGCCCAAGGTCACCTGGCTGGCTTTATGGCTAAGACAGAACTAGAACTCTCAATCTCCTGGTTTCTATCTGATGCCTTAACCACTGCACCAGACTGGCTCTCAATTTTCCATTGAGTGTTATAAAAAGCAGACTGTGGGGTGAAGAAGATAATATGGACCAATAGTATGGAAATTTTGAAAGCTGTGCAGTACTTCAAGAGAAAGAAGCAAGGATCTTCCCCAAGTCTATGGTGTTTAAGGCCCCTTAAGAAGAAGCAAAGAAACCACAATTACTTCTTTATTTTGGAAGGTACGAAATCCACTATATTGGACCTGCCTGCATCCTTAATACACATTTTTAAGTGAAAAGACAATTACAGACATTACAGCTGGGAATAGTTTTACATGATGCATTAAAGTTTAAACAAGAAATAATAAAGCCAAAGCTGGTACTGTAGTTTTATATACTAAGGACACCAGCAAAGACCTGCAATTACTTATTTAATGTAAATAAATTATTTCCTTTAATGGAAAATCATGCTGTTGCACATACAAAATAAGGCATATTCATCTAGAAAGAATTAATGTTTGAAACTCATTTCTTTTCCTTTTTAGTGATGCAGCAAATGTTATGTTAAATTGTGCTAATAATTTCATTGGGGTGGTAGAAATAAATAACATTGCTCTAATCAAGACTGCAAACATTTCTCTTCACAATAGAAATGTAGAGATAAACATGCAAACACAATGTAAGCACCTAAAATAAAGCAGTGAATATTTTAATCTTTCTTTACAGTCCATTATACGAGTCTAGCAGTTAAGATACTTTGGATTACCCCCAATAGTGGTTTTTTGGTGGGGGGAGGTTGAAGGACAGCATTTACTGGAAGAAACAAGCAAGCAAACAATTGTCAAGAAGATTGGTGAGCCATCTGAAGTAGATTCTGGAGACCCAGGAAGATGGGAAATCTACTGCAGAAGCAGGAGTTCACCCTTGAATATCCCTTTGTCCTGTTAGCCACAAACTATCACATTGGACTATCCTGCTTTTTGAGTGGATAAGGCAGAATCATCAAAGAGAATGATGAGGCAACCCACATCTAGTTTTCTTTTCCTCCAGCTATCACGAAAATATAGCTTTAAAAGTCATTTAAAAAGGTAAAAGTAAAGCTTTCCCCTGTCTAGTCATGTCTGACTAAGGAGACAGTGCTCATCTCTGTTTCCTAGCTCAGGGAAACAAAATTGTCCAAAGATGCTTCCGTGGTCATGTGGTCAGCATGACTATACGCTGAAGTGCACTGAACACTGTTACCTTCCCACTATTTATCTGGTCACATTTGCATGCTTTAAAACTGCTACATTGGCAGGAAAACCATATTGTGTATCATTTATTACATAATGACCTTACTGGACTTGATGTTCTTTTTACATAGGCCTGGAAGCATCATGGTTGGCTATGAAATAACCTCAGCAAGGCAGATCCCGCTTGAAAATGCACATCCCCAGATAGCTGCTCTCTTACGTAATCCCTACCAGTTAGCATCTTCCACATTTGCAACAGAAATCATTGGTAATGTTTTTATATGTCTTTTCTTAAAATGTGTATTTCTGTTTTGGTGAATACAGTTGGTGTCCTAGGTGGCAAGAAAATGTTTTTAAAGTTTATCATAATTTTACAACCACAGGCCAGGCTATAGTAGTGAAGAATCAAACTTGGAGATTCAGCCATTACCACCGATTTGTGAAAAAGTGGCCATTGATTGGCACTGCTTTGTTTGAAAATGATGTTTGTATTCATTAAGCTAAATGATTGTTAATCACCTTGGAAAATCCCACATGCAAAATTCTCTCATCCCCTGAACCAGAACTCCATCAAACTGAAGACATCAATGTTTAAAGCAATTAAGATATTAGTTCCAATGTCTTAATTTTGCTAGGTAGTTTCAGAAGATTTCCAAAGCATGTTCAGAAGAGTACAAAATAATACTATGAAGTAGCTGGCCATTATACTTGAGCAATACTTTGTATTATATCTGCTAGTTCACATATTTCTGTGAATTTTGAAAAATATTTTTTTTACATACTGAAACTTTGTGTGTGTGTGTGTGTGTCTCTCTCTCTCTCTCTCTCTGAGAGAGAGAGAGAGAGAGAAAGAGAGAGAGAGAGAGAGATGTGCATACATGTGTATACAGTATATATATGTGGCTAGTTGGATATTTAGAATGAAAGATTCACTATATATTGAATTATAGGACCATTGTAGAGCTTCATTTTCAGTCCCCAAAGATACTTCAGAGTCCAGGAGAGTACAAATATAGCATCTGTGTGTTATACCTTAAAGCAGCTGTGATTTTTCTTAGACTGAACAGCAACAGTTAAATTGTACATATCACTAAAGTATATATGGTGATAATAAAATTTTCACTTTCCACTAGTTTTGAAGAATTCTCTTTATGTCATGCTAGGTAATGTAAACATCTCTATTTCTCCTGAACACATTTTTGAGGGTGATACAGTAAAAATAACCTGCATGACAGAATACATTTCAAGAACGGTGACCTGGAGGTATAATGTCATCAAGCCTGACAGGCTTACCTTGACAGAAGAGGATAAAGAAGGAAGCAAGATAGCAACTCTGACAATAACAGACATCAAGCTGAATGAAGCAGGTAATTCTGAATTCTAAATAGAAGAGTGCTGGAGCTGTTGTTTGTGTTGCAGTCAGAACCAATTCTTATAAACACCCCCACCAACACTAGTAGGGTAAGCCATTGTATATAAGCAGGGAAGAAGCCCCACGCTCCCTAGCACTGGTAATATTTCCTAGTTAGGAAACAAAATGTCTGCAAGCAAACAGTCAAGTTCAGAGAGCACCAACAACTTCACAGTTCATCCCTGAGCTACAGATTCTCGTCTTATTAACAATCTATCTGGGAAACAAGGGAGCACTTGCCACATCATTTTACCCAGTGCTGTACAAATGCACCGTCAAACAGAAGATACAGCTAAATCCCAAAATTTGTGGCCCTTGCAGTCCATTGTTGGAACCAACAATGTCCCTTTTTAAGCTGGGATTATTTGACAATGATATTCCTCATAGATCTAAAATGTGGACAAGTATAACCAAACAAATTCATTCTATTACACTGTCTGGGAAAACAACACACTGTCACAACCTCTAGGCAAAGTTACTCAAGTGTGGCACAAAATGTTACTGTTGAACACTACTGGTCTCCCAACTGTAACCAGAATATACTAAAAGATTGGATCAATGCTAGCAACACAATGGAACCTGCTCTGAGGTATTCCCAATAATAAGCTTTTTTCCTGCTTCAGCAGGTTTCCCTCCATCAGCAGTGATATTAGCAGCAGGTCTTCTTCTGTGCTCAGAGCTTCAGCTAGCCTTGAGTCAGAATATTAGCCCAAGCTTTGTGCTGAACTGAAATTCACAAGTAGGAATGCAGTGCAGTGTGTGTGTTCTGGTCACTATTTCAGGCATCCCTATACTCCTCTAGTCATTTCCATTTCCACCAGGATCTCCATTTTTTTGCTACCAACCATTGGTCAGATTCCATGCCCCCAACCTTGGATCCCTTTTTCCCTTTCCCAAATATATTTTGCAATTCTGCAAACTTTGAAAGCTGCTGAGACTTTCGTCATATGGCATTGATTGTATTGTGCTTGCAAAAGTCAGAAAACAGCAGTTTGGAGATAGAGTAAGGAAAGATGGATGGAGGTGGCCTTGGTAATGGTCTAGGCTCCAGGGCAGGGGTGTCAAACTGCCGGCCCGCGGGCCGGTTTCATCGTAATGGAGCCGCGCCCACCCCATTGCCAGCAATGGCGAAAAAGCTCCGATACCTCGTGCAACGTCATGTGACGTCGCGAGTTTGACATGCCTGCTCTAGGGCATGGCTGAAGATTATTTTGTGAGTTTCTGTTCTCAAAAAACAGTGAATGGGCCATCCTTGTGCCAGGGCAAGCAGGATGTATGAATGAGCTCATAGCTACCCAATAGTATCAGCATGTCCTCTCCAGTATATCAAAGGCCTTAGTCAGTCATTCCAGCGAATGTCTCCAGATTGTGGTGGGAGACTGTGGAGGTTTTGTTGGGAGACAGAATTAACTTTAACATAAGTCCTTTTGTTTATTGAACCAGCAAAAAAACAGAAAGAAAGGTATTATAGGCCATCATGGATAACTCCCTTCTCAGAGCAGGAGATTTAGAACTTAGACCATTCCCAACAAATAGTTGGGCAATCCCAATCAGGGATTCCAGCAAGGTAAAGCCTACCACCTCTCTAGCTAATTGGCTCCACCTACACTTATTGTTAAAAGGTGGCCTCCTAATTTTCTCTCAAAAACTTTATTGTAACTTAAGTCTGTTAGATCTAGTCCAGCTCTTCAGAATTATTGGTTTGATTTATGGAGCAGTTCTTCAGGTAACCTATAAAGTGCTGACACATTCTCTCTCAGCCTTCTCCTCTCCCATGTAAATAGACTCAGTCATAAGCATCATGGTGGTGTGAGGTTACTTCAAAATGACACCAGGCACATAATATGTGAAATTTGCCCTTACATATTTGTTTCTCAGTGGTGGATACAAACATGTGAGTCATAAGCTTGTGTGCTCTGACACTTATCTGCCCTCTGCAGTTGCCCATGGATCCTGTTTCTGACCAGCTTTCCTCACAATACTTTTTTGATTGATTATTTGGTGGCCTTCTTTGAACCAATGCTAATTTTCCTATCTCATTCTTAAGGTGTGATGCCTGAAATGATGATAGCAAGCTATGTTTTGTCACTGTTACATAATTTTTATTGAATAACTTTTTACCCAAATTATCAAACATTATCTCGCCATATCATTGCTGTACCCTCAAATTTGAACAAGATGGTTGGGAAAAACTCAAGAGCAGATTTAGGATGGAAAACAAATTCCTGTTGCACAACTACAGGTCTGCTGGTATGATGTTAGCTGAATTGGTTATTCTATTAAAGCAAAATAATACTGCATTATACTTTTTTGACTCATCCTTCTGGCTCATGCTCAGTCTGGGACTTATTATTTCTCTGAGATATTACTTCATGTATTAGAACCGCAGCATACATTTATTTTATTAGAGAACTGTGATAAGCTAGTTATATTTCAAAAGTGGGTTTTGTGCCTAACAAGTGTGTTGTTTTAGGAAACCATGTTTGCCCATAACATATTTGTCTTTTTTGCAGATAATTTTAGTTGCAGTTTTAAAGTCAACGCAGGGAAATTGTCCTCAATATACAAAGGTGAAGTTAATGTAGTGGTCTCTCAAATTAAACTCGTGCCATCAGAAAATGTTTCTATTGTCTGTGATGGTACAGATAGAAGAGAACTGAACTGCTGCACAGATAGAGACATACAACTTTTCTCTCCTTATTGGAGACCCAATGGAGCAATAAATATTTCAGGTATGTAGCAATATCATCTCTACTAAGTGCTGGTTATAGCTGATCCTTTTTCTCTTTTCAGTAGTCTTTATATAGAAAGTGTAGCTATCTCTCATTGTTTGTGCTTTTCTGTGGATCACAGTAAGCTGGACCCAAACATGGGCCTAGAATCTGACATTTATACATTCCTCCATCAGAGCAAAATCAAGACCTGAACCTGAAATTGGGTAATTTTCTCTTGCTCCATCATTGCCTAACTTGCACCAGCCTGTGTGTTGAGCAAACTCACTGTTTGCTCCCTTCTTAGACCAAAAAGGTAATAATCTTTGATCATGGAGAACTCCAATCTCTTTATCACAGTTAGAAATGTGGGGCAGAAAGCTAAGTGCTTTCCTATTTCTGCTTTCTCTTCTCCTTCACAAAACCCAGAGTTCCAGATTTGCCTGCAAAGGGGAAATTGACAGTAGTTGATCTGTCAATGGGAAATTTAGCATTCCTTTCCAGAAAAATCAAAAAGACCTGAATGGCAGTGGAGATACAGTGCATAGAGTTTCACACCCCTTTTGGTGCAAATTCCGATATTTATGTTCAGTGGATTGGCCACCTAGGAGCAACTGGTTAACCATAAAGTAGCTATGGCTATGAAGAGGGAGGAAAAAGAGTATACATGCCTTGTACTTAGCCCAAATATCTCCCTGCAAAAGGGAAACCTAATGTTGTAGAAAAAATAATGACTGGAGGCTTGCAGGGACTATGTTCAGTTGATGCACCTGGTCTGTGGAATTGGCTGTACGCAGGGTTTCAATTTGTTGCCCTTCTGCAGGCTATTAAAATTGAACCCTTGAGGTTTGAATAATCAATTATAAAGTAGCACTGTCTAAAGCAGCAATGTTTTCGGATGTCTAAATTTTTTACTATTATTTTGGGTAACTTAATTTGCGTGCACTCAGCCTTTTTTTTTTTTTCAATATAAAATTTTATTGTTTTCATCATAAAAGAAAAAAAAATACATCACAGATATTACACAATGTTATATCCCATCCCCCCACCCCCCGGACTTCCCAAACCAAACCTAGGCTAATATTCAAATACAAGTAAACAAATATTAATATCTCTAACTCCAAACTCTAAACTTAAACAATCCATCTCCTCCGTATTAATAAAAATTATTCATTTAATTAA